CCTTCCTTCCTTCCTTCCTTCCTTCCTTCCTTCCTTCCTTCCATCCATCCATCCATCCATCCATCCATCCATTATTTCATGTTCTATACTCTGAAAGGATAGAGAACACGTCTTGATCTTCTTCTGTAGGAAATCCGTTGAAGTAACAGAATTCTATTGTATTCACCTCAGTCTTCTCTTCTTGACATTCTCAGATTGTTCTATCTTTCTTCCTAGGATTTACTTCTTTAATGCTGTGATCCTCATTGCTGTTCTCTGAACTGTTCCAGTTGTCTGAATCCTTCTTAAAATGTGGTCCCCAAAACTTTAGCCAATACTTGAGCTGGGGTCTGATCATTGCAGAACAAAGTGGAACTATTCATTCCTGTGATTTAGAACTGATATTTCTACTGATGCAGTTTAAATTTTGTGGGTTGTTCTTGCAAGAATATTACACTGTTGGCTCATGTTCAGTTTGCAATCAACAGAAGAGGACAAAGTTGTCATCTATTGAATCAGACTGCCAATCTAAATGATATCTATAGTGGCCTGGAGGGGACTAGGTAGGGAGAGGTTGATCTTCATTGGCTGGCAACAGGTCTCTTTTCAAAATAGAATTCTTTTCCATCTCCACCTGGAGTTGCCAGAGATTGAATCCTAAGACATAATCCTTTGGCTTTTCAAACATGAAGAAAGCACTACTGCAATTCTGATTATTTTAGGGGTCTGCACTTTTTATTTTTATTTCTTGTTTTATTGCATAGGATTTCAGGAGACTTGAGAAAGAAGTGATGTTATCAGCAAAGGAGTTGGACATTTTTGTCCATTTCCCTTCTCTCCATGCTTTTTGAGTTTTGGGTTCGTTTGCATTTCAATAAAACAGTTACGTTTTGCTAAGCTTAACTTACCTCATTTACTACTACTTTTTCTTTAAAAAAAGTAGGACAACACAGAAGAATAATTTGGGATTTGCAAGCAATGGGCTGAGGACTGCAAGAGAGGTTGTGGGTTGTTCAGTCCATTCCATTTCTAGAAGATTATACATTTTACTGCCTTTATACATCAGTTCTACTAATTCACTTCTAATTCATTTCCACATTACTACCTGTAATGATTGTGATCAAATACTTCGTTTTTGATTCCTCACCATTTGTAATTTCATAAACAGTGGGGTGGTTTCCCACGATTCTTCCAATCTATTTTTGTCAGTAACCAGACTTCTAAACATTCAGCAAGATTTACTCCTATTTCTACCTTGTGTTGATGAAGAAGCCTGCACATCCCAATTATACTATGAGCTATACTTCCTGGAAGGGTCACCAATGAAAGGCAGTTGATAAATGAGGAAACAGGCTAAATACTATCCGGTAGAGAAGGAAATAACAACTCATTGCATCATTCTGCCAAGAAAGCAGAGTAGACATTTATGACCAGGATAATATCAAAGTGATAACTGACATTCTGAGAATCAGTGAACTGAAATGGACTGGAAGGAAACACTTTACACCACAAGAGCATTAGATCTACATGGATAAGACATTACTAGAATAAATGAAATAGCCATTACTGTTAACAAAAGGGCGTCAATGTCAGCGCTTGGGTATAACCCAAAAACTAACAATGCTCTCAGTTTGAATCCAAGGCAAGCCAATCAATATTAGGATGATCCAAGTCTACAGTATATTGGCAGAATCAGCCTCAGGCGCTTGATTATTTTCTGCCTCCTGAGGCTGACATTTGTCTGGAGTGGGCTTCTCCATGTCAGAGTCTTCTGGCTTGGTGGAGACAATAACAGTCAGGATAAATGCACCACTCATCCTAGTCCTGCCACTGGTCAATTAGTAGTGTCAACTACAAGGGTGATCAGTTCCACCTCAGTGCTATATGTTGGTCTGAAATCCAACTGAAAAGGGTCCAGATAATCTGCTTCCTTCTTTCCTGGAGCTGCAAGCTAACAACCTTCTCAACAAATTATAGACTTTTCCAGAGAGCTAGCTCTTCACATAATGTATCAAAAATATCATGAATTTGAGTCATTTGTGCCTCGAGTGAGAACTTTGGATTGATTTGTTCTATGAGCCCTTTGGTGGTGTTTTGGCTATCCCTGGTATTCTCAGGAGTCTTTTCCAGCACCATCATTCAAAAGTATCAATACTTGTTTTACCTGTCTAAAAATTCCAACTTTCGCTTTCATGGGGAAAACCATTGCCTGCATGATTCTGATCTTTGTAGGAATAAATACATCCTGACATATGAATATTTTTTTCAAAGCTTTCATTGCTACTCAGCCAAGTGGTAGCCTGCAACATACTTCTTGACTATTTGTTTCTTTACTGTTGATAGTTGATCCAAAAAGGCAGAAGCTATCTCCCATTTCAATATCTTCATTGCCAGTTCTAAGCTTGGGTACTGTACCTGACATCATTTTTAGTATGGTCTTCTTTACATTTAATCTTAGTCTCATCTTTTCATTGTGCTCCTTGACTTTCATTATTAGAGCTTGCAGATCTTTCGCATTTTCAGCTATCAGAGTAGTGTCATTAGTATAGCACAGGTTATTGATGTTTGTTCCTCCAATTTTAAAATCATCTTCCAATCCACCAGCTTCCTTCAATTTATATTCTGCATATACGTTGAATAAATAAGGGAAGAGTATACAGCCTTATTTCACTCGTTTGCTTAACTGATGGGACCCAGAGGTTGGCAATGTCATCTTGCAGGACCCGGGAAGCATGCTGACTCTGTTGGAATTCCTGCCCTCTGAAATGAACTTCCCCCAGAGATTCGCTGTTGTTCAGGAAACTATTGAAGACTTGGTTGCTTGCATTAAGTATTAGAAGAAGTAAAATAGGATTGATAACTGGAAGCACAAATAATGCAGGTAAAGCTTAAACATGTTGGACACATAGTACAAATACAAGAATCATTGGGAAAAAAAAATCCTGAAGCTTGGAAAAAGTCAAAGGCAATTGAAAACAAGGCTCAGCTTGCAAGAAATCATCCGACAGATAATCCTGGTGAAATATGTCTGACATGTCACAAAAGGTAGGAGCAACTAAATTACTAAACAACCAAATAAAATTTGCTTCATGTCCTGCTTGCAAGTTCCCAAACATGGTCAAATGAAACAAAATGTCTGATGGAGACAAATGACATCCTTAATGCCAGTAATTGAATAAAAGGCAGAAGCATGCAGAGTTCCTAACCACCCAGCCTTTCCTTTGCTCCTATAGATGCTATTGCATTACATACTGTTGAGACTGAGAGAGATATGGGTTGCCCAAATTCACAGTGGAATCCACCACCACATTTCCTGGCCCCAATGCTGTTTGTTTTAATTTGGCTCCAAACATTCAAGATTTAGATCTCATCTGTAGCATGAATTTATCTAGAACCTATAAATTTACTACTCTCACAAATTTCAAATTAATGTATTTCACTTGAATGACATTTGAATCACAAGTCATTCAAATTAACTCCATCAAAGCCCTCTCTCCTCCTGCCAAATTAATTTACCTTTTGGTTATTATATCCCCTTTCTGATTTCTCCTCAACCATCTCTGATTTGATTTTGAAGACCGAGTTTTTCTAGTCATTTATTTAGCTCTTCTTCAGCATACTCTCCTCCTCCTTGGTTTACTTCCAGAATAAAGAATCAAGGTTCTGCAAAAAAGATATGAACGGCAGAGTAGTCACTCTGAAAACTAGCTTGGCAGCCTTACTCTTCAGCCACTATATGACGGTGCAAGCATCTGTGTGCAACATGTAACATGCTTTAGTGCAGACAGGAGCACATCTTTATATAACAAGGGTTGAAATATTTAATTAGTTCCATTAGTGAATGTTGAAAATATTTAACAATGTTTCCACTTAATTGGACAGGAGATTTGTAAGGAATTGTTTTAAATGGAACAGCATGTAACAGGAGATTTTTAGTTTTTGCTGTCTCTCTCATGTTGGAAACACGCCTCGTCTGAGATAAAAAAGCCAGTATGTTGTAGTAGTTAAGGTGTCAGACTAGGACCTGGCAGACGTAGGTTCAAATCTATCATCAGCCCCAGAAACACACTGAGTGACTTTGGAGTCTTTCAGCCAAACCTACCTCCGGGGTTATTGTGGGGAAATATTAGAGGAGTGAATGTTGTGTGTGCCATTTTGAGCTCTTGGAGGAAACACAGGATATAAATCTAATATAAACAGACAGACTTGACGTGACAGGTATGCATCATCTTAAATTCAGGGAAATAATGTTTGCTTTAAGCCTATTCTTAATCATAGGCAAATTAAACTGGTTAATTGATTGACCAATAATATGAAATTGATTAACTAAAATTTCTTTGATCAAGTAGTAGTCTTGCTAAAACCTCTATCTATACTCAGTACAGGTGCTGAGTTCCGTGTTGTTCTGAAGCCTATCTTGAAGTTAAAAAAAATGTACAGTATCACTTTGCTAAGCCTTTCATGACAGGATGTAAATCTGAGACTCAGATGGCCTTCATGCTTTCAGAACTGAAAAAGTAGCCATTATTCTTTGATCTAGTATACCATGAGTAATTTGATGCCTGTAACACCTAGTAGTGATTAATAACATTCAGTCTGAAATTTCCATCTTGAGACTGACTCTAATCTGCAAATCATCATGGCTAAAACACCTGGTTAAAACATCATGGCTAAAACACCAATTGCTAGACTTTTTTTTGTTGCTTCCCCATTCATGTTTTTTTGTGCCATTTTGCCTGCAAAATGAGAGAAGTCTAAACTTGCACACTGTTCTGTATCATTTTGGATACCTATAATGATTTATGCAACCATAGGGATTTTGTTTCTTTGTGAACTCTCACAGCTATCTTTGTTTTATTCTCTCTCTCTCACACACACACAAATATACATACAGATACAGATACAGATACAGATACCATTTTTTGTGTGCCTTTGAGTCAGTGTTGACTCCTGGCAATGCCTGGACAAGTCCGTATAGTTTTCTTGGCAAGGTTTTTCGGCAGTAGTTTGCCATTTCCTCCTTTCTAGGGCTGAGACAGAGTGACTGACCCAAAGTCACCCCGCTGGCTTCATGCCTAAGGTGGGACTAGAACTCACAGTCTCACAGAGTCTAGCCTGGTGCCTTAACCATTACACCAAAGTGACTCACACATATCCATATATACAAATGTATACATACATACACACACAGACATATATATATATATATATATAATATATATTCTGTCAGTTTGAAGTTGCTTTGTTTGCTTTTCTATTTATGTAGCAGTTCAGCTCCCTCTTTGCAGCAACAACCTGCATTTACCTAAAAAAGAGAAATTTTCCAGAGAGCCTGAAAACATAAGGGATCCCTAGAGCAATATTTAGCTATGCATAGATAAACTATTATTAGAAGCAAATATCTCCCAACTTAACACTTGGAACAGTCCTTCTCATTTCTGCAAATCCTGTGTTATTCTTGTGTCCTACAGTGTTTAAATGTATCGTCCATGTGCATGTGTGTGTATACATATATGCACACATACAGATGCATAATTATATATACATTATAGTAACAGTACAACATAACCTTTGCTACACTTTCCATTCAGAAATTATTGAAAAAAATTGGGAAAACATTTAACAGTGAACAGTGTGTTTGTTGTCCCAAGCAGCTGTCAATCGATGAAGCAAAGGAGCAACAGGAGCTGAAAGCGTTGCTGCGCTGGCACCGTCTTACGGATGAAGTGCAGAACTCAGAAAGGGATCTGCAGGTGTTAAGGTATCGTTCAGGCTGCTTGCTTTCCTATTCCAGGTCGTTTTTCCTCTGAAAACCAAGCATGTCCAAATGATCGGATGAAATCTTTGCATTTTTTTTTTCCAAAGAGGATTTTGGAAAATTTGAATGGGCCAAAGTGATGTAGGGTTAGTGAAGACAAACTAAATAAAACTAATTGGGAATGCAGTCTGGTGCAACTCAGTGGGAATTATTTCTGATTAAATAAGTTTTGGCTGCAAGTTGCTACTGGGATCATAAAAAGAAACAAAACAGTTTTAAATGTTGATCCCAGAAAAGCATAAAACATTTCCTTTCTCACATAATTTCTATGATTAGAGTAATCTCATTGTATTTGTTGGAACCACAAATTCTGTTGGATTTCAGGTGCAGAGTTTTCTGTCTACTGCAGAATATAGAGTTACCACATCATATTTATTCACTGCTTACCATCTCATAGAATACCAACTGAGAATATTAAAATGTGGAAGACTTATTTAAAGAACATTTTTAGGAAGAAATATCCTCATTGGTTTTCATATACATACACACACACACACACACACACACATACGTTTAGACTAAAGTTCCTTGCTTAAATGTGAATTTCATTGATTGGTTCTAAAACATATCGACTTTATTATTTACAGTTAAATGCAGACTTGAAGCTAGATTTGGCACCACAGTTTACCTGTGATTACAGACAAAGTATTAAAAGCATAAACCCCTGTCTGTGAAGTTGTACGGAGAAACAGTTAATTCATGGTTGGCTTTGCTTGTGTTTTATTGTTCCATAAAATGTCTCCAGACCTCCAATAGCATGCATAGTTATGCATGGAATTCAGATTGGAGTATGCTGCTATTCGTGTATTTATGTGTAATGCTTCACAGAAGGTTGCAGCCCAAATCTCTAGTCTAGACAATTGTGTATAGGAAGTCCATGTGCAGAGCAGGACTTTATTCTGAAACAGTATACCAACTGAAATTCATTCCATGTTGGTTTTTGAACTACCCCACTTTGAAAATTAAATGTGTCAGGAACTCATTATAGAGACCTGAATGATAGGGCTGTTCTGTACTTCAAATTCAAAAGGGAAAAGTTGTTTTTTCTGGAACTGGGCTGCAGCTGGAGAGGGCAGCGAGGCAACCCAGAAAAGATGCAGTTGCTTTAAGGAAGCAGCCTACAGCCAAGAAGAGCTATGTGAGTGTCCCTTATCTTTGAAGCTCCTTTTTGCCTTCAGATCAAAAGTGCTACACGGCCCTGATGAAACCAGTTCCAAAGATGAGATGCCCTAGAATTTATAGAGTCCTGTTTTATATAGTTCCAAATGTAAAAGAGCTGGATATTAATCCTAAGATTTCATTAACTAACTTCTACTCTTAGAGCCAAAAATTGATATGCAATACATACACTCCTTTACTCTGAGGCTTATAGGAAGGTTTAAAGGATTATTCTTACTCCCCCCCCCCGCACTTTTTAAAAATCTTTCTTAGTTACATTAGGGCTCACAGAGAGGGACTTGACCAAAATAATGTCATAGTTGGGGATTTCAGAGCTTTCTGCTTTTAACCTAACTCTGCTACAGTGGCTGTTCTAAGAGCCCTCCACTGTGTTCAGCCACTGTTTTTCCTCCATGTTAGCTGAAGCATTCTGGGTGCTTCTGAGAGTTCCTGAAAGCATGAGTCTAAGTTCAGCAAGAATTAGTGAAGCAGGGTTTATAATTACAATAGAAAGGAGATTGATTTACAGGAAATACATTACATTTATAGGCCAAACCTAGAACCTAGCTAGCTACATCCTATGAGGGGGAGAGTCCAAGACCATGTGCTCTGTGTGAGTGTGAAGGCAGAAGGAAGTCACCCATGCTGGCTGGGGAATTCTGGGAGTTGAAGTCCACACATCTTAAAGTTGCTGAGGTTGAAAAACACTGTCTTAGACAAAGAGTAGGCAGAGTGATAGTGAATGAGAAGCACAGGTAAATCCTTAACCCTCTATCTACACTGCACGTCCCAATGTGATCAATAGGTCATGAGGTGCTGAAGAGCTAGTGCCACTGGATTCACACCTCCAACATACCTATCTTCCCTTTAAATTTAAATCATCACATAATAAGTCTTAAAATTCAATTCTCATATTTCCAAGAGTGCTGTTTGATAATAGGTGTGGATAGAAATGGCAGCCTTATCATTAGCCTCCATGCAGCTGCTGACTGACAGGGTGGCTGGTGGTTGTTGCTTTTGTTACAGTGTGTATGTGTGTGTGTGTGTGTGTGTATGGCTTGTTGCGATAGAGGCCTAACTGGACATTTGCTTATGCCTTGTCCAGGAGTCTGGAGACTATGAAGGTATGGAGGGGAGAGAAGAAGGTAAAGTTGAATCCCAGCAAGAGGGAGTTTTTGCACTGAGGCTCTTTGCCTGCACTAGTAGTGTCTTTTGAGAAAGAATCACTACTCCTGAAGGAGCAGGTCTACAATTTGGGGGTCCTCCTGGACTCTCAGCTGTTGCTAGGAGAGCAGGTAGAGGCCATGGCCAGGAGAATCTTTGTCCAGCTGCAGCTGGTGTGCCACTTGTAGCCCTATCTGGGTCAGAAGGACCTTGCTTCAGTGACTCATGCCTTTGTCAGCCCATGCTTAGATTCCTGCAACATGCTTTGTAAGAGGCTGCCTTTGAATGCCACTTGGAAGCTTCAGTTGTGCTGAGGCCCAGAGGTGCTGCTTCTCAGTAGTTGTGCCAGCCCTCTGGAATGACCTCTTGATGTGGTCCTACTTTGATTGCCTTCCAGAAGCAATTGAGAATGGAGTTGTTCCAGAGGTTATTTTAGACATGATGCTATCTGGTTTAAATATCGATAGCTGATGGATTATCACACCAGGATGACAGTTTTTACTATGATTAGATGATTTAAATGGTATTAATTATCAATGTTACTTGTGTATTGTGAACCACCAAGAATCCTTTAGGATTGTAGCAAGATATAAATACTGTATAGTAAATAAGTAATATTGTTTTGTATCTTGCTACCAATTTTGGTTCTGACTGCTTATTAATTCTTGTTTTTTTTAACTTTATTGGGTTTTTTGCTTGGTTATTGATTGTATACCATCCAAAGTCACAATTGAACACAATTGTTCAAGTTGCGTGACCATATAAATTTCATAGATAGAAAGAGTATCATAAAAAAGGGGTCCAACTTAGTTTATCTTCTGAAAGCAGGGAGGTCTGAAAAAATGTATCAAAGAAAGTTTAACAAGGGGGAAGGCAGTTTTTTAAGGTCCTAAGAATTAGACCTTGAAATGTTAAAAATAGCATTTTCAGTTGTGTCTAATAATGGGATAGAAACCAGTTTCACCTTTCTCTACCAGCTTTCATTTGTGTATTACCTTAATATATCTTAATTTCAGAGAAACATTTGATAGTCCATGACATTTTGATTACCAAAATAGTTAAGTGAAGGTTGAACAAGGTGGATTCATAACTGGCTCAAAAACCATATTGAAAAAATGTTCACCAAATTCCTAGTCAAATCAGAGAGGAGAATTGAAAAGTTGTTGTAGGATTCGGTCTGGGGACCTGTACTGTTCACTATTTAAATAATAACTTTGGTGATGAAATAGAAGGAATGCTTATCAGATTCCACACATTTGATTGGTTAGCCACTATAAATTAAAACTTATCTTGATAAATTAAATAAATTGATTGAAAATAACAGAATAAAGTTTAACAGAGAGAAATGCAAAATTCTTACCTTAGGAAAAAGTTATCAAATGCCAGGCATAGAATGGCAGTTACCTAGTTTGGGGGGAAAAAAAGTGAAAATATTTTAAAATTGTGATCTTAATTGTGATCTCCGTGAATGTAGTGAGATGTGGCTGCAACTCCCCCCCCCCATACAGTTTTAGGCTGCATCAATAAATGCAATGAAAGTTTAGTTTTAAATCACAGGAAATAATACTTCATTTTGCATAGTCAGACCACTCATCTCAAGTACTGCTCAGTTCTAGACACTACTAAGTTAGGATAGATTCAGACAAGTAGGAAGAGTTCAAAATAAGCAAAAAAGATGATCAGTGGATTTGCAATGAAGAAGGGATTGGGGAAAACTGAGTCCATCTACCTTTGGAACAAAAAGGTTTGAGGGGAACATATGATAGAACCCTGTCAAAAAATCTCACACTGAAGAAGGCTGTGACATGTCCTATTTCTACAGAAACCAAAACCAGAATATAGTAATGGTTTTAAGTGGTAAAAAGGCTGATTCTGATTAAATTTTAGATTCCTAACAGAGCAATTTAACAGGGAAACCAATTATCTAGAAAACTAGTGGGCTCCCCATCTACTGATATGTTTCCACAAATTACAAAATGTTCGCGTGGAAGATGGACAGACATCTGTACTGATGCTTCAGTTTCGATTCCTGATTGGAGTAAGGGGTTGGACCTGATAGCTTTTATGTCCCCTTTCAATTCAATTCCATTTAATTTATGATTGAAGAATTTTTTAAACCACATTTTAGCCACTTTAAGAAATATGATGAAGCTCATATATTATATCACAAAGAAAGGTTTCTGTTCATCCCCTTTCCTTTCCAGTGAGGTTCCCTTAGAGACTGTAACCTGTCATTCATGGCACCTTTTAAAATAACTTCAATTTTAATAGCATTTTTCAACTATTAAACCTTGTGATATATTGCCATATAAATGTAGAAAATAGAACATAAAACCAACATTGAGCTGGTATTTATGCTGGAAACTGTACAGAAAGCGGAAACAAAGTAGATAAAGGGATTGGAGCAATTCCCAGTATCAAAAGACAATGAGATAAGCTAAGATCATTTGGTGTAATTTATTGGCTAATAAATATAACAAAGAATTAAATGGACTGCTGCTGTTTCCTTGTTCGCAAAAGAGCAAGTGGTCTGTTTTTAAAACAAAACTGTGGATCAAATATTTAAACAAGCTGTTGTATATGTATTTATTTTATTTATTCATTCATCATATTTATTTGGCCACCCATCTCATAATCAAGTAACTCTGGCTGGCGTACCACAAAATTAAAAACAATATATACAAATTAATATTAATGTTATTAATAATAATTTTTTTAATTATAAAAGGCAGAAAACTAAAACAGAAAAAGAGATTAGGCAAAGAGCAGATGTTAATTACACTGGAGCTATCTCAATATTTCGCCAGTCCCCTGGGGTCCCCAGGCCTGATGACATAACCAGGTCTTAGGGACTTCTGGAAAGTTAAAAGGGATGAAGCCGGCCTCACTTTGGGGGGAGGGATATTCTATAAAGCAGGGGCCACAGCAGAAAAGACCCGCCACCTAGGACCCGCCAAATCTTCCTAGCCTACAGGACCTGCAGCATGCCCCCTCTGCTGGGTCTGGTGGGATGAGTAGATGTAATTGGGGAGTGGTGGTCCCTCTGATAACCTGGTCCCATGCCATGTAGGGCTTTAAAGGTCAAAACCAGCACCTTGACTCGGACCCGGAAACAGACTGATAACCAATGCACCTCGTGGAGCAGAGGTGTAATGTGTGTTCTTCTGAAACATACATAACTGCCCACACTGCTGCACTGTGCACCAGCTGAAGCTTCCAGATACTCTTCAAGGGCAGCCCCATGTAGAGTGCTGGTATATGCTGATTTTTGTATTATTTTAATCAACCACTTGAATTCAAGCAAAAACTGGAGAAAAATAAATAAGCTTGAGGGATATCATATTCATTTCTAATTTCATAATTCACTATTTATGTCAGATCTCAAGAAGGATTAAAGAAAAACATGTTAAGTGACTTTTTAATCAATACATTATGTTCAATCATTCATAATGAACTTAGGGGGTACTGAAAAATGATAATCTCCTTGACATTTTAAGATGCCTTGTTTAGTCACTTGTGCTTTACACTTTTATTCTTTTTATTTGGTTTCCATTTGTGCTCATTTATATATTTTCTTTTAAAAGTTTAATAATTTTTTTTAAAAAAGAAATGTTGAGGACGCCCCATCCTTCAAGCAAGGATACATCAACACTGATTAAAAAGTATTTTAACCAGTAAAAAACAATAATAATTTCAATACAGTATTTGTTTGCTGACCATGCTATCCATTATGCCACTGATTTCTGTAGGTTATTCTATGATTTGACCTATATACTTAATCAGCATATAGCATTTTTTCTCTTCCATTTCCTCACAAACAGACCAGTAATCCCTTTGATAGCAATGGAGTAATCAACAAAAAGTATTAGGAAGGAATATGTTAGTTGTTGTACCATAGACTTTAATTTTATATATTTGGTTCATGTTGGCTCCTGCAACTTGAAAAGAATATTGCATATGTGAAAGAAGTTCAATCTTTTGAAAAAACAATCCAATGATTACGATATAAAATCTTAATCCATTACTGTATTGAATTTTGAGGTCAAATACTGGTATGTGTGTTTTTTAATAATATGTGTCTGTGGATGGATGGATAACTTGTTAGGTCTTAAAATGGCCTGGGCTGTTCATATACTGTAGTCTTATCCAGATGAGGGAAAAGGGCTGTTCCATGTATTTTTTCTAAATAGCTTTTTGTGGCCATGCAGCTTGTACTTGCAAAGAGCATTTGCCTAATTGCCCAGATATTGCCAGTATCATGAGAATTCAGTTTCTCAGCTTCATCCTCCCTTCATATTATATTTGGTATATAGAAACCAGCTTTCATGAGAACTTATGTAAATTCTTCCTTATAGCAAGTTGTCATTTGAACTGAAGCAGAACAAGGCTGCATAATCTGTTAAGGACGGTTTAAATCTACAGTATGCTGTTAACAGAAGATTTTAGGCACGGCCCAGAATCTAATGATGTGGCTGGTATAAAAATGCTGTAAATGAATGCATTTCTGGCAGTGCTACGGTGACCATTAACTGATAAAGAATCTAATCAATAGGAACTGGTAGAGGGTATTCCAGTCCTCCTGAATGAAAATTTGGAAGCCAAAACACAGTGTTGGGGGATTATAAAACAGAAGAAAAGTAAGGGAAAACGTGGCACATTTTAAGCATATTAGACATGGATGAAATAAGTTATTTACCTTGACAGGTACAGTCTTGTGAGCTGCTAAAGTGAAGTTTGGATAAAAGCAATCAAAATGTGTAGCTGGATTTTTTTCTTCCATCTAGAATGTTTCCATCTCTTCTCATTTCCCTTTGCTATGATGCGTCGATCTTGTCTGTGTAACATGTCTTAGCAGAATGCCATATGATATGATGTCATGTCTGGGAGAAGAGTTAAGTAGCTTCACACCAGTTTAACTTGGGCTATTGATTCTATGTCAGCTGCTTATTTAGCCATATACATAATGTTACATTAGAAAACTCCATTGTTGCACTACTTTTCCACGAACAGAGTTCCATGAATTAAATATTATGCTGTTCCTGTTTTTAATGAAGTGTTTTGATAATGAAATTTTATAAAATATCCAAATATATTTCTGTCACTTTGTCTAAATTGATGTTATTATTTTGTACCCTTTTAGGCCAAACAAAGAGAAAACTGGCAAAGTGACTGAATCTGGTTCATCTGTAATCAAACATGGCCTTAATGCAGAAAAAAATTTCATGCAGGTTCACTACCTAAAGGTCAGAATGCTTAAAGCTACTATGGCAAACCAAATACTTATACATGGAAATTTAAAGTACTGATATTACATTTTCAAAGCCCTAGAGTATCTTATCTGAACTTGTTTGGTGTGGTAGATTCTTCATGTTGTCATATATGAATTCACAAATGCAGGTATATGCATTTGCGCAGTACACCTTCAGAACTTTTCTAAAGCTTAGAGAAACTATGGGAAGGAGTCATATTTCCATGCAATACATATTCCATTTAATACATAATGCAATCCTGCAATTTCCAGTGGTTCCTTCAGTACTGTAGTGATCCTTGGAAACAATCAGGAAGATTGGCTGTTCAGGGAAACAGAGGTATAGATAAGATTTGCCTCTGTATCATAGTCTCTGTGAATAATATGAAGAGGCTAGTAGCAATTGTTACCTGGACATGAGCTTACGTGCTCAGGATTGCTTTCACATATGCAGCATTATGTTGGGAGTGAACATCTAACTGGTATTGTTTTATGAATGTGGAATGTTGGGTCCAGGTTACAGTCATACTTTCTTCTTTCAATGAATTATGCTAGAGCATAGCATAGAAGATAAGGCAGCCCTTGTAAAATGGCTCTGACTATGCTTAGATCAGGGAAGATCATCCAGCTCATAGAAGAAAGTTCTAGCAGTAACAACCTAGCAAGGAGTATACTGAGAGGAAATAGAAAATATATGAAGTGTTGGAGTCCTTAGAAAAAGGTACCATTTGTTGAAGACAAAGGGTTCAAAAGATACACCTCCAAACTATTTACTGTTCTCTCCAGGAGGTAGACAGATCATTGAAGGAAACCAGAAAAATAATATGTTGGTTCAAGTGGATCTCTGATACATTTTAGGTGGAAAGGAGCCATCCTTGTGTGAGATGACATCGTTTTTATGAAAAGTAAGGTACATGACAGCCAGTCAAAGAGCAGCTAATTTACCAGTTCTTCTGGCAGAAGTAATAGCAACTAAGAACACAGTTTTCCAAGTCAGCAGATGAATAGGGCAAATAGCCAGCAGTTCAAACAGATCCATAATCAACATTGAGAGAACTAGGGGTTAAGCTCCAGATCAATATAGAATGTTCAACGGGTAGATGTGTATGTAATAAATTCCTGGAAAAGCAGCTCCCTCTTGTATGTGAGAAAATTGACCATCCCTTGACCATTCAAGAGATGCTGAAATGGCCATTAAAGCAACTAAGGATTGAAAGGAGAAGGTTTTTCCTCCTTCAGACAGTGTAGGAAAACAAAGCCAAGTCTAATAGTATAGGATGTCTGGAATGAGATATATTAAAGACCTAAAGTCAGTGTAACATTCTATTTGATATTTTGTCTTCATTGTGTTAAATGAAAAGCTAACAGAGTCTTTTCACATAACAGCTCACTTGATCAGTGATCTTTTACAAAAAATTTAATGTGTGATGCCTGGGAAGAGATCTTACTTCATGAATACAGTACTTGTTTAGTTAATGTAACTGAATGGATCCAGAATGCATTGGACAGGGAATGCAATTGCTTTAAGAAAAGCAAACAGGAACTGAGTTCACATTTCTATGTGCTCTGAAGCATCTTTTTGGAATTGCATCTGAAGTATTATACCATGTGTGTATGAGAGGTAGGAGTAGGGCTCAAAGGTCTCTAAAAGCTCTAGAATAGATCTGTACAACAGGCAGCCTGCCAAGCAGCCTTATAGGGCCCACCAATGTTTTTTAAAAAGTAGTAAATTTAGATTCGCTGCCACCGCCAGCTCCAGTGCTTCAGCCGCTCTGCTAGCCACAGAATAGCTGAACAATGGCACTCAAGTATTTCTTGGTGGCCCACAAGGATTTTTAATTTATCAATGTGGCTCTTTCCCCTTGACAAATTCTGCAGGCCTGCTCTAGAAGCACTACTGCTGGTACAGATACCCATTTGTGTGAATTGTAAAGACTACAGTCAAGGACTGTAATAAGTGTTAGGGAGAAGACTTCTTTGTGCAATCTCTTCTCTTTAATACATTCCCAAGGAAAATATGTCTAATTCTTTCTTTGTTGTTAGTCCTTAGAAGATTGTAGTCCATATGATAATACTGTTGTACCATATGGTAATGATCAGTTTATCATCTCATGACTTTGTAATTGTCTAACTACTCTTGATTGAATAATAATTTAATAATATCCCATTGGTTCTTTTGCTAATCATTTTAGGAACCCTTTTGCAAGGATGGGTACTGTGGAAATACAACCCCAAACCCAAAACAATAAAAGAGAATAAAGAAATAAGAACTGATAGGGTATAGGTTTCCACTGCCATTATTTATTGCACAAATGAAGTCCAGGTAATGATAATGAATATATGCTGACATTTTGTTAGTCACGCTGCTAACTTCAAAGCAGATTTGAAATTGAGAAGTGTCCTGTCTTGGTTGCTTCTAGGGTTATTTCTTGCTTCGGACTTTCACAGAAAAAATAGGAGAAGCTGCATATTTTGCTTTTTTAAGAAAATATGTGTCGGCATTTCATGGACAACTGATACTCTCCCAGGTATTTGTGCATGTTGTTTTCTTAGTGAAGTCATAATAGAAGATTATATAGTATGCATGTGATCTTCAGGGATATCATTATGTACTCCAATGAGGGCAGGGTCAGCATCATGAGACTTCAGTTTCTAAAAACTTTAGAACAATATGCCAAAATTTGGATAGTGTGCAAATAGGCCTTGTAATACCTAACTAATCTCTAATGCCATTCACTGAAATGAAATGAGATAGAAACTTGGAATTGTAACTTTTATCTCCCATATTCTTGCTCGGATCTATTACATACTATGATACTGAAGTAGAATTGTTATAGAGGTGCTAAAGCACAGGTCCAAACAGGGGAACAATAAATGAAAAATTGCAAAGATGAAAGAATTTTTTTTTAAAGACAGAACCATTGAAATTAGGATTTAACAGTCAACCAGAAACATAAGGCAAGAGTATCTTAGAAAGTTGTGCAAAGATCTTTTCTTTAATTTGGAAATATTCTATAATGGAATGGAAAGAAATCTGTATGGGAAATAAGTAAAGTTATTCTTCTTTTTCCTCATACAAGAAAATAAAAATTACTTTAATTTCCCCTAATATGAGACTGAGCACAAGTTCGCAGGAGTGGGAAGAATAGGTCTCCCTGTAGAATTTGCAGAAGCACATATCCTTCCTAGCAAGTTCTCAGACTAGGCTAGAGGAGGGCACCAATGAAGAAGGGAAGGGCTTATGCATTGTCAGAATATCTGTTAGTTGAGCAAGGGAGAAGCTAAAAGCAAGATGAGCAGTAGCCTTTTGATAAGTGTATTTGAACCTTTCTTTTATCATCAATCAATAATATAGCTTAACATTACAGGTAATCCTTGACTTATGACCACAATAGGGACTGGAAAGTTTGTCATTAAGTGGTGTGGTCATTAAGCGAGGCATCACATGACAGCACTTGATTTTATGACTTTTTTGCAGTGATCATTAAGTGACTCACATGGTCATTAAGTGAATCATGTGGTTCTCCATTGATTTTGATTGTCAGAAGCTGGCTGGGAAGGTTGCAAACAGCGATCATGTGACATCGGGATGCTGCAACTGTTGTAAATACATGCCGGTTGCCAAGCTTCCATATTTTGATCACATGACTGTGGGGATATGGAAACAGTCATAAGTGCAAGGACTGGTTATAAGTCACTTTTTTAGCGCTGTCGTAACTTTGAAAGGTCGCTAAATGAATGGTCGTAAGTTGAGGACTACCTGTATGGCTATTCATACTAACACCTATTTTGATATTGCATACATGTAGAAAAGGAGCTTCCAAATGAAAGGCTTTTAGAACTACCTGTCAAAAGCAGTATGGAGACCAAGCCAAATCCAAAAATGCTAGAGAATTCCTGGAAGCTTGGAATTCAAACAAATCAGCCATCAATAGATACATAGAGATACAGGTAGTCTTCACTTACTGACCACAATTCCGTTGCTAAGCACCATGGTCGCTAAGTGAAAAATCACATGCATGTGCCAGATTTGTGATGTCACTTCCACTTCTGTGTTAAACAAATCATGGGGATCATTAAGTGAGATTTCACGTGACCTCAAGTTGCGATTTCACTTCTACATTCTCCATTAATTCTGCTTGTTGAAAGCCAGTTGCAAAGCTTGGGAATGATGAGCACATGACTGCGTGATGCTGTGATGGGTGGAAATGCAAGGATTGGTCGCAGAGCTGTTTTTTTACACTGTCGTAATTTTGAATGGTTGCTAAACAAGGCAGTCAGTAAGTGAGGACTACCTGTAAACCACATTTATACACCATTCAAAAAAGACAATTAAAAAACCTAGAAAGGAAACAAAAAGATTACAGCACATCCCCTCTAGCAGCCCACATTCAGATAAGCAGGGAACAGCACCAAACAATCAGGCAGAAAACAATATCCTAATCAAGGAACCACCAAGGAAGAAACCATGTCCCCACCAACACTGGCAGGGCAAGCTACTTTATATAAACAGGGAGCAAACCCCACACTCAGTAGCACTGATGATGTTACCTAGTTGGGTAATGAAATGTCTGGAAGCAAACAACCAAGCTCAAAAAACACCAAGTTCTCCACTGTATGCAGTTATTTGGTCCTTCCCCTCATTACTGGATTTCTTCTGGTAAGAGAAATGATAGGAGGCTTACAAACCAAGGAACACATCATCATTTGGAATTTACATAAAATTCTGTATATAGGGCAGGTGTTTGCACAATAAAACCCTTCTCTTTTACAACAGTTTTTCTGAACGTGGGTTGCTCAACATTATAGTGATGATAATGCCTAGATTATTTTATGCCTCAACCATAAATATATTTTCTTAACAGCAAATCTCAGAGAGTTAAATGTGCTTATTTCTTGCTAGGCAAGATTCAATTACAACCGTAGAAAAGTGTAGTACCACAACCTAGCTAACCACCAGCTAACACCATCCATTATTTCTGTTATGTGAAAAGTATTGGAGAGGTAAGAGATTTCAATTTGTTTCACTTAGCTCTGCTAGCCTGATATTAAATCAATTTGGTTAGCAAATTACATAAATATTGCAAAACGTTGGAAGATCTCAGCTCATAAGGCTATTAGTCATTGTACTAAGATCATGTTACAATGGAGATGCTAATCCGCTAGTCATTTTCTTTTTGCCCAGCAGCCTGCTGTGAAATCTGGTTTATAAATTCCCCAGCTGTTCTTTGCCCACATGAAACATTTCATCCTTGCACTTACCCTAGAGGCAAATGTTTACAAATCAGATTTTAAAGCTGATATCTAATAATATTTTTTTTTGTTATTTAGATGTGGTAAGAATATTTTCTTATTCAAGACTTCTTATACTCCATTTCAACATTCTCCTTAATAGGAGATTGGAGTTGTGACATATGGTGTTGAAGTCCCAGATCCCACATGTTGGTGTCACAACAAACAGTGGAACAAAATCTAGTGAGAGTGAGAAAGGCAATGTTCCCATATCTTTCTTCCCTCTCTTTCATCCTAACACTCATCTAACTGTACTTCAGGAGGTTGCAAGTTAAGCTTTTGATTCATGGTGCTTTCAGACAATATGTTTACACATTAGATTTCTGTGAGCATGCAATTTATATATCTCTGTGATAGAAAGAGTGCATTTTTTCACCTATCCTGAGATGTGTTCACTTCTCTGTTGCAAGATGAGATTAGGGGTAGATAACCATTTTGTGGCCACCCGCAGCACTTTTAATGATACTGTGCTTGGCAGCTAAGCACTGCAAAAGGTGGAGCAATTACATCATACAAATGGGTGGGACAAATTTGTTTTTGTTTTATTTTTTAGTTAAAGTACACTGTGCCTATCCAAATAAGTGGGCAGGAATCTGTGTCAGGATTTTCAGTGACTGGCCACTAGATTTGTGGCAAATGATATGAATTTGTTCCTAACAGAGCAGGAAGAAGTATATGAATTCTGCTGCAAATAAAGGTTTTGTATCTAAATATGAATATGATCTTTTAAGCAAACCTGAGATACTGAATAAATAAAAGCATTGCAACGTTTTGATGTTTTTAAAAAATGGGATGGATTCCTACCATGTAAAAAAAGCATGAAGACGACAGTATAATATCTAGAGAATAAATAATTCTCACATTCTGAATGCTAGCCTTGTTTCTAGCAGCATTTGTAGTATTTTTCCTAGATTTGAGCCACAGGTGCAAGGAAATGACTTCACATGTGAAGCATTAATCAGTTTGCTTTTCTCCCTTCATTTTGACTGCATGCTCAGTTACATTTTTAATAGTAGTTTTTGTTTATTTTAGTTGAGTAGAAAGCAAGTCTGGAACTTTAGGATGGGATTTGTTTAAAAAAAATTGAGGAGTTCATTCTGATTTCTGTGAGAGAATCTACAGAATAATATTTTTGATGAAATTTGTGTAATAAATGGAGTGCTGGTAACTGTAAATAAATAGAAATGAATTTGAGGTACTGATTCCACTAGTATAATTAAGACTGACGTATAGTTTGGTGATGAAAAATGGATACCCTGTGAAACCAATCCTTTGCCGAGTTTAATATTTTCATTATACATCTGGTCAAATAAGGAATGAAATGTAACACTAAACGGCTAAATGTGTATATTAATTAAATAATTCATACCTAATGTCACTAATACATGTTTAAAAATAGTTGTATCATGTTTTAATATTTTTAAAAATCCAGTTCACACTAATTTGTGTGCTCATATAAAGTACTTTTCTAGCTGTATGGAGTTTTTATAATGGTGTTTCAGAAGACATATTTATAATCTGAGAATATGTTAGGATCCAAATGTAATTAGTTTTGGTCTGAGTATTATAGGACTCAAATCCTGTGAATTTTTTTTTTAATGTTTTTAAGGAATTCAAAAATTTCACCAAGCAAAAGGTTTATGATATAATTGCATTTGTATTTAATTTTATATTATGTGGTTGTTTTGGAGTGCCTTTGATTATATTCCAATTTTTGGTTTCTCCAAAAGACTGTATATAGTAGTGTATCTTGGCCTTTAAAAAAATGAACTGAGAATGCATGTAACAATCTTGTGTAATTACCAACTAGCTAGATTGATTTTATACAAATAAAATGTTGACATCATTTATATCTTTAACAGTCAGCACTATCTGCTTGATTTCCTTTAAAATGTATAAACAAATTAAAAATAATTATAATACAGTTCAACAGTAATCCAGTTTGGAAAACACTCTCTAAAATATTGCAACACCTTTATGCAACCAAAGATACAGTCCAGTGTTAGGTTATACATATGAAGAAGTGTGCAGACAGAAGAATGCTTTTCTTAATAATAGAAGTAATCAGGGATACAGAAGTTATGTCTAAAGATCAGAAACAGGGGGAATGTTTTATTAGAGATTATAACTGTAACTTTAATTTGTATATAAATATAAACACAGAGACATATAGAATAGTATAGTATAGTTAACTATACCTATAGTTATATGTACATATTTAGACTTATAGTTGCATTTAATCTTCTTAACTCTTTTTATTGCCATTCAGTATTTTGATAGTATTTGATGATTACTCTAAATTGATTATGAGAGGGAATGGAGATATACCCCTTGTATTTGAGCAAGATAGTTAGAACTTGGCATTTCTCATATCTGCTTTTATTATATGTGGCTTAGAGTTTAATTAGCATGTCTACCTTTTATGAATAACCAAAATCGAATAAATGGTTATAAAAATGTTGCTATATGTGTTTGTCATTTATAATAACAGCATTTTGTTATTTTTATCCAGGAATTTCTTCATTTATTATTGGAAGAGTTCCCCCAGCTAAAAGGGTATGTGGAAATGAGTCTGAAAGTCATGATTCAACTATCTGTCTGTCTGTCTGTCTGTCTGTCTGTCTGTCTGTCT